GAGGAAAGGAGCCGAACGGGTCGGAGATCTGCAGCGGAGACATCAGCTGCATCTCGGCCTTGGCTGCGGCCATCCCGGACGGGCAGGCTGGAGAGCTGGTGTTGGGGCGGGTGGGCGCAGCCCGGAGCCGTGGCTGCGGGGGACACACTCTCGGGGGCCTGGCCGGGTCACATGCGGGACGCAGGGCACACTGTGGCGGGAGCAGGTGGGGCCTCTAGGCTCGCCCTCGCAGCCAGCGGGTGTGGACGCGGCGCTGCTACCGAGGCTGGGGCAGGGGCCGGTCCTGCGGCGGCGGAAGCTGGCGGCGATGGCAGCAGGCGGCGGCGGCTCCCCAAGTTCTGCGCGCTGGGATCTCTCGCGACTCCCCAGATCCGCTTCTATTTGAAGGGTCTGGAACGCCACGGGCCCGCCTCCGTCGTGACGTACATGGCCATATAAGGGAAGCAGGAAGCCCTAATATGGCAAGACCGGCCGGGAGGACCCAGAGTGACGTGAAGCCCCCTATCCTAGAGCTGTGGGCACCGCCATCCTTCACCCCGGCCCCTGCGCGGACTCCTGGACCCTGGGCGTCTAGGCTTCGAGAAAGCTTAGGACTCAAGCCTCAGCTGGGGACTCCCGGACTCAGGCTGCCTCGGAGTTCCCAGCCTTGCCCCCGCCTCTTCCCTCCGCCTTCTTCCCTCCTCCCGGAGCCGGAAGCGGCCGGGCCATATCTGGCCGTTCCAAATAAGGCGCTGCCCAAATAAGGGTTGTTCCGGCGGGGGATCCTTCCTGCTCCTTATATGGCGTTTCCGGGTCGTTGCTCGCTGCTCCCTGGTTGCCCCCCCTCCCCCTCCCCGGGAGCCAGAATGAGCGCAAGAGCTGGGGACGCCCTGGTGGAGGTCTCCGGGCGCGTAGCGCTTGGCGCATCGCGGCTCAGGCGACTCCCCAGCGGGGACTGGGCTGGGGAAGCCCGGGCCCGGGGCGGGGGCGAGGGCGAGTCGGCCCGGGGTTCTGCCACCGTCATCCAGGGCCCTCCCGCCCACCTCTGGGACCGTGGGAGCGGGGCGGGAGCTAAGGGGAGGAGCGGCTGG